ATCCCTGTCTGCTCAGTTGCGTCAGGGTACTCACCAGTCGCTGCCTTTCAGTCACGCCCAACCCTCCACCCACCCCCTCCTTCCTGGCTTCTCGCTCCCCAACCATGTCATCCAGCGACCGAGCGCTGGGTAACGCTAAGCAACAATAGCTGGCGAAATACCGAGCAGTACCGGCAAACGGCTGCGCTGGCAAAGAAGCAGGGCCGAATTTTAGTAGTTGCTGGTGTTCCGGCAGTTCATAAAACCGGCTTGGCCAGGCTGGGTGAAGTGCAAGTCGGAATGGCGGAGGTGTGTGGGTGCTAGGGGCGGGGGAGGGGATGAGGCTCGGGGATGGTGGGTTTATATCTTGGGGCCTTTAGCGGGTGGGGGGATGGGTTATTGAGTGCAAATGAGCTGAGACGCACTTGAAGATGGGAAGTGGAAACAGGGGCGGAGGTTCCATAGGTTTTTCATCCTCAGCCTGAACTTTAACGCTTATGGGAAGTTAGCATTCTTGGACACAATACCTAAAGCCTTATGTAGGCGAGGAGCTCGGCACCAAGGTTTCTGGAGTTCGATGTAGAGACCGAAGATGAGTACATATTGCGCGACCAACTCGAACCGAGTTATAATAGCCCTCTGCGAGTAAGGGCCGAGCAGTTCTCGTGGACGGAGCAATTATAATAATATCGGCACGCACCAGAGCAGCCGGTGTGATTATGCGTCTTGTGCAACTCCGTCCACCGTTTTGTGCAACGATTGCCTGCTTAATGATTTTCACTGTTTTGCATTTTGGTCTGTGCAAAAATAGTTGAAATGTTGTCTGGTTCTTAAGCTGCGAAATTTCCCACTAAAAATATCAAGCACGCGGGATAATAATTTCTCTATCAAAACTTTCACGGGGCCGTACGTGGTATTCAGGGGTGCGTGAAGGCTGAATCCAAATTTGCGAGGCCATACGTTAGTAGACGAGATCATCCTAAAATTTCAGATTCCCAGCTTTCGCGGTCCCCAAGATAATAATCTCCCTCCTCCCCCCGCCCCCCGCTTGCGAAACTTTCATGGGGCGTAAGTGATACTCGGACGCGCGGGAAGGCTGAATTTAAAATTGCAGGATTGTATGTGGACAAAAGACATTACCGTAAAATTTCAGCTTCCTGGCTTTTATGATTCCCGAGATAATTTTCCCGCCGAAAATTTTACGGGGCCATAGGTGATACCCGAGAGCGTGGGAAGGCTGGATTTGAATTTGCGAGATCGTGCATAGATGGGCGGTCATTTCTGCAAAATCTCAGCTCCCTAGATTCCGTGGTTGCCGAGATAGTGATTTACCTGCCAAAATTTTCATTGGGCCGCTCGCGTTATCCGCGGGCAGGAGGCTGAATTTAAATTTTCTGGCTCACATGTGGGTTCAGGAGACATGCCTACAAAATTTCAGCTTTCTAGCTCCCGTGGTTCCCGTGATAATAATTTTACTCGCCAAAAGTTTTAGGTGGCCGTACATGTTACCCACGGCAGGGGAAAGCTGAATTTAGATTTTCTGGGTGGCACGTGGGCAGGGAAAATACCCACAAAATTTCAGTCTTCTAACTTCCGTGGTTCTCGTGATAATAACTTTACCCGCCCAAAATTTTACGGGGCCGTACTTGTTACCCGTGGATGCAGGTAGGCTGAATTTAAATTTGCGGGGTCACATGTGGGTGGAAAACGTTCCCCTAAATTTTCAGCTTCCTAGCTTCCATTGTTCGGACAAGTTGCTGCGGACCTACACACACACACACACACACACATACACTCGCAAGCACACGTTTTTATCCGTTTTTTTTTGCAGCTGTGCAATGCGGACAATGCATACTGACGAGAAGTCGTCTGTGTGTGTGCGCTGGGCTTCTGTACCGATTTTTCATTTCGAGACCTACAAAAGCTACAGGGCTGAAACTTTGGGGGCTTCTACATGCATGTACGGGCCCCTGTTCCCAAAATGGGCGGTTTTGCCTGCGTGGTACCATGTGCGGGCCCGTAAAAGTTTTTTGCGGGTAAGTCGCTAACTCGGGAATCAGAAAAGCTAGAAAGCTGAAATTTTAAGGGGATGTTCCCCGTCCAAATATGTTTTAGTGAGCTTCAAATCAGTCTCCGGGCATGCGTGGTACCCACATACGGGCCCGCCAAAGTTTTTTTCGGGTAGGTTGCTAACTCGAAAACCTGAAAAGCTAAACAACTGGAATTTTAAGGGGAGTGTTCCCCGTCCAAGTAGGTATTAATGAGTTCAAACGGGGCCCTCGGGTATGCGTTGTACTCACCCACGGGCCCGCCAGATTTTTTTCGGGTAAGTTACTAACCAGGAAAGGTAGAAAGCTGAAGTTTTAAACGGTTGCTTTTTGAAAGTCCTGGCGGCCAGTTTCAGTTCTTTTAGCTAGAAGCATTTGCCGGAAAACCGGTGCCGGTAGCGACAAAAGTTGTGGGGAACTATACAAAAACCCCATTCTCGCAGCGACATTCGGTGCATGGCCAATTACACAGCACAAAATGCATAAAAACTCGGCTCGGCTCAGCCCGTCTCATACACGCGCTGGAAAAAAATTTTTTTTCGGACAGCTGGTAGGGCTGCCCCACGGCGGATGGCGGCAGTTTGAATGTGGCAGGTGGATGTGGGGGTGGTTTGTGACAAGTTTCGTTCGAGGCAGGGGAGGGGGCTGGGATATGTGGGTATAAGGACTAAATGGCGCTGATCTTTTATCGGTTGACTAATTAACGTACATTTGGAGGGGAGAGAGGAGCAGTGATGAACGGAAAGGATGAGGAAGTGTGCTTCTGGTTTTTGCTGTAAATACCTGGGGTAGGGAAAGGTAAATACTGTTTGCTTGAACAGTGCTGTTATAGTAGGGACGGGTGAGGGTCTATATCTTGTTTGCTAGCAGGATTTAGGGACAGGGTAGAGAAGGGGAACGAGGATATAAGTCAGGAGCTCGAGGCAAGAACTGAGGACAGCAGTAAAGAGAAAAGACAACACAGCGCACGCAAATAAAAGTAAATTAAAACAAATCTGACTTTGTGAATAAAAGCAAAAGAAGCTGAGGTTTTGCTAGTGAAAACCGTTCCACAAAAACTCGCCATCAGTAGGGGACTTCCCTATTTATTAAACTAATGCTTAGGTAAAGCTGTTCCACAAAACCCCGTCATTAGGCTTATCTACTTATAAAACTGATGCCTAAGTAAAGCTGAGAACGAACAACTTCCATGACGTGAGCAAAAGTCAGCCTTCGCTTGTGTGAGATTTTGAGGACAAAAAAATAGAAGTAGAACTGTTGTCCACAGTTGCGGGCTGCGGGCGGCAACACTGTGGAACTGTCTGCAATTCTTGTATAAATCCAGTCAAACTTATTTGCTTCTAACTCCCCTAAGTAAAAGCTCTTGTAAATCCTGTCGAACTTATTTGTCCTCAGCTTCCCTAAGCATAGACTCTACAAATGCGGGGACCGCTTACTGAAGACAGGTTTTTGTAAGACAATTCCTACTCGCATAAGCTCAGTTTTTGTTTGCTTTTTTTGCTTTTGGTTACAGGCTCCAATTCTTTGATTTTACTTTTTTTCCTCTTATTCACAAGTTCAGATTTGTTTTAATTTACTTTTCTTTGTAGTGCTGTATTGGTTTATTTCCTCTTTACTGCTGTCTGCAGTTCTTGCTTCGAACTCCTAACTAGCATCCTTGTTCCCCTCTTGTATGCCGTTTCCAATCCCTGCCTTCAGAGCCGCATCGGGGCACCCATCATTCACCACTCTGACCACTATTACCGTTTTGTCGTTCTGAACTGCTGACCAGCACCTTCATTCCTTTCCACTGTCCTGGCTTCTACCGCGCCCCCTGAGATGCACTTGGGTATGAACCAACCTGCACCTTCCAATTACGTCCAACTCCCTCACCCACCGCTCCCAACCATGCCATCCAGCCGTCAGGCACTGAATAGCTACCCAGTGCGTCTGGCAAAGTGCCAAGCTGTTGCGGAGAATGACGTCGTGATGTAGCGTTGGCAGAGATGCTAGAGCGCTCCCCAAATACCGTCGACTATCAGCCGAGCCGAGTTTTGGTAATTGCAGCCGTGGTGGACGATAACCGGGTTTTGCTTTCGTGTAGTCTCCTATCCTCCGCTTGTACCGCAGGAGAGGTTAGTGGCAAGCGGGCTAGGCTATCCGGGAGCTGTGTTGGGGCGATACCATGCATCATCCGTGACATCGGGGACGTGGAGGAGGCGCGATGTTAGCTTGCGAGGGGTGCTGCGTGATAGTAGACGAGCGCGGTTGTGTGCGTGCCTTGTTGAAATGAGGGGCCGTGCCTTCTCATTCATTTTGTTGGCCGTTGCCACGGGCGCGAGAGACAAACAGGCTAGCTGATATGCATATTTTTCAAACAGTTCTTCATCGGCATATCCCTGCGGATAGGTGCGGTGCTGGCGGGGGAGGGAGAGGGCGTGCGCTGGCATTGCTAGCTGCTGTGTTAGCAGCCAGTAAAAAACTGCGGTTCGCCCTGTGGGTATGAGGAGTAGGCAGGGTGCCGGGCACTGACTGAACGAGTCGAGAAGTGCCGGGCTCAGCCCCGAGCGCTGACTTTTCACGACGGCCTCGCTGCCCTGCTGTGCCTTTGAGTTGAACTTGTCGCGTTTGCAGGGCCGGTTCGGCGTACCAGCCGGGTTGTTTTTGGTTGGCGGCTCAGTGCTGGGTGCTATGGCGGCGGCCCGTTCTGCCTGGAACTGGGGGAGGGGGGTGGGTGACTGAGGTCTGCGA